AAATGTACTATTACAAGTATGAAGACATCCTTGTGTTATTACACAATCTTCAATTGTTTCTTTAACAGTGAATACATCATTAATTACATTGTTGTTGCATGTATTGTTAATGTAAATACATAGATATTAGAGACACAAAAAGGTTGTTAGTGTAAATAGTTCAGAGTTTGAAAAATGAGATGATGTGCTAAGGACAAGTGTTCCTGCAGTCTAATGCTCAGTGCAGTCAGGTCCCTAATATTTAAACGTCAATAACGTTATTGTTATTTTAGCTTTTCACTACATTGAATTGGAGTTGAAATTAGACATTTAACTTTATTTGAGCATACTTATATTCAGGTCCAGTAAAAATGTAGGAATTACAACCATTTTCATACATACCCCTCAATTTTAGGGCCTAAAAAGTAATTAAACAAAAGTCTGTTCTTCTGATCAATGGCCAGATGAGAGTCACACCACAATATTTCACATACTTGTAAGCAGAGAAAATGTATAGAGTTGATTTTGAGTGTGGCATTTGCATTTGGAATCAAAAATACACAATCTGATTTGTGGCAAAATTAACAATTTAGTATATTCTTAAAAAGAAAAAAAACACACTGGTGAGTTCAAAAGTACCAAAGGGCCTGAAAGACCCGGTGCAGATGGACAATGACCCAAAGCATACTGCAAGCATACTGCAAAAAGCAACCCAAGACTTTTTCCTAGCAGAAATTGGAGAGTTCTGCAATGGCTAAGTCAGCCATCTGAATTCAGTCCTGATGAGCATGCATTTCATTTAATGAAGGCAGAACTAAAGATGAAACACTCCAAGAACATGTAGGAAATTATGACAGCTGCATTTAAGGCCTGGCAGAGTATCCCAGGGAAGAAATTCAGTTTAGTTTGAGGATCCAGATAGTCATTGACTGCAAAGGATTGGCAACCAAGTATAAAGAAATGACAATTTCTCATTGCAGATGAGTTTTAACCCATTTTTGAAGTTAAGAGAGTTGCAGTTTTTTACACAAGGTATTAGGCAGCTCCACACTGAATGTCCATGATGAAAGAGTGTAAACCAGGGGTGCTCAGTCCTGGAAATCTGCCTCCCTGCAGAGTTCACATTCAACATACCTGCAGCACCTAATAGTCAGATAGCACTGAAAGCCTTCATTGTCTGGATCAGGTGTGATGAATTAGAGTTGGAGCTAAACTCTGCAGGGTGGTAGATCTCTAGGACTAGGATTGGGCACCTCTGGTGTGAACTGTCCTGTGAACTAGTGTGATGTCCTTAAACATCTTGGTGGAGGTTATTAAAAGATCCCGTGGAATAATATTAGACTTGAAATGCACACTGGACGTTGTTTTCAAAGCAGTTAGAAAGGAGGCAAAAGGAAAAAATATATATAAACCAGCATGTCGCTGCTGTTGGACGAAAACCTCGTATCTCCATTCTTGTCGTTTTTCAGTTTTTGAAATGATTTTAAAATGCCTGTTGCTCTTTACATTGTGTGTAAATTTCATGATGACTGGACCAAAATAAATGACATAAAATGACTTGGAAAAAGGTCTGGTTCCATTGACTTATATTAAAAGTAAGGTAGGTTTTCTATTTTTCCTGTAAAGTTATCATTTTGGAGATACGAAGTTTTCCTCTGACAACAGTGATATATTTGAAAGTGGTTAACTTCATACACTTTAAGTATTTGAGGGTTATGAAAGAGTGAATGAAAGCTTATGTAATAATTAGCTGAAGTGACCATTCAAACAGAACATTCTGAGCAACATGTAAACAGCTGATGTTGCTTTGGAAAGTACTGGGCCAGATAATGTGACAGAAGTAAAGATAAATCAATGGGTAATATGAGTTAAGAAGTGTATGTAAGTGTATTTGTCAATATTTCTGCTATTTGTTTGAAATTAAGGAAATGTGGAGTCAGACCTGGATAATTCTATGGGTATTATGGATACAAGCCCAGGGCCCTCAGCCAGTAGAGGGCTTGAGCCACTAGTAAAGCGAAACCTGATACTGAGACAGAGTAAAATGTGCCAATTTCCAAAGCCAAATATAAAGTGTCAGCCACCCAAGTTAAAGATAAAAGTTGCATCATCCTTTTAGGTGGTGATCTGTGAACTGTCAGCTTCCACACATAAAGTCATTAGATGTAAAAAAAAAAAGAAAAAAAATAGATGCCTGCATTTTCAGTATACTTTAGCTTAGGTGGTTTGATGGTTTGGGTATTTTAAGTGGTTTTAATTTTTAAGTTTTCTGTATTTTCTGTCTTTATGAATATTTCAACAGTCTGATTTTCATTTTTGTCATATTTATTGAGCTGAACACTTTTCTTGCCAAGTGGGGAAATATGCTTTAAAGAGAAGTCTTACATTGTTTTTGTTAAACTGTGCTCACGTTAATGTGTGAATAATTTTGCTATCATTTTGTCTCAGTGTGTTATAATGGTAACATGCCATACTGTGCTTAGAATGCTGCCATCATGGTGCTGCAGTTTTGAATGTTCCCATGCTGTATGTCATTGTAAGAGAGTCTGAGGTTGTAACCCTCTTGTTCCAATACAGCTCTTATAGGTAACTTGTATAATTTCTAAAGAGTTTATGAGTTGTATATCTAAAAGCTAATTACAAACTACAACTGTATCTTTATTTATCACCATAATAGTTTTAATGTTTTTTTATGTTTGTTTAGTTGTCTTTGTGTTTCTTTTCATGAAAAGCAAAGGTGAGGGCAACATACAGGCTGAGTTGAGCTCAGTCCTGAACGAGCTATAAAGAGTGGGGCTGGGGATTTAGGGTCTTTTCAGGCTGCAGGCCCATCCTAACCAGAGGAGGACCATCCTGGAAGCGGCTCAGTATGCTGTTACTCAGCTTCTCAGCTGGTGCAGTGTGTCATTCTGGTCTCAGTACTGAGCTCAGGTGGCACAGGCTGCAAGACAACAGCACCACTGAAACTGCAATTATTTCCATTCAGCAAAATGCATCTCTCTGTCTGAAAAGGTCTCTGGCCAGAGTGGCTGAAGTGAGATTAACTCTCACACCAGACTAGTTTCCCCATGAGTGACCACAATGGTAATATTGAAAGTGAACTTTCAAATAATAGAAAGTGAACTTAACTTTTTTTTCTTACAGACTTATCTGTATCCACCACTGTTACAACCAGAGTAACTACCATTACCATCACAGGTACTGTTTTTATTCATTTCGGTGATTTTTTTTAACCTTTTCTAAGTGTAATGTTTCATGAAGTTTCCATTCTGTATTTTTATTTCCAGCTGGTCAAACAGAGAATGAAGCAGTTACTCCTCTACAAACTCCATCACCAGCTGTTTTATCCATCTATCCAGTGTCTCTCCTGGTTCTGGGAGTGCTGCTCTTCCTGGCCTTAGTGCTTCTGGTTGTGCTGTTTTACCAGAACAGAGTGCTCAGGAGAGGTAGAGAGATTCAGAGATCATCTACAATCCACTTTCTGTACATTCTCTAAACATCATTAGCCCTTCAGTCTGTCATCAGTCTTCTCTTCTACTGAACTGGCTCCATGTTTCTCTCTGTCTCCCTCACAGTGCTCTCTAAGAGGAAGTGTAAGACTCTGACTGAGGCAGTCTATGAGGAGATCGACCAGAGACTCATTGCTAAGAGAATGACTAAAAAGGGTAAATGATGTAAAGTATTCTACTGGAGGCAATCCTAATGAGCTCCCAGTGATTAGAGAAACGTTTATTTGTCCCTTTTATGTCTCCTTAAAAATGCTGTAGTTTGTAATCATGAAGGTTGTGAGAATTCCTGCCTAACATTGGTTAAGCTGGTTGCTGCAGGCTGGGAAGATTTTATGTAACAAGTAGCAAGAATGTTGAAGGTTAAGAGCTTCCTAAAGTTCCTAAAGAGATAACATAAATAAACATCTTTGTCAGTACAGTTAGGTAATAATGTGCAATTGGAACTAATTGTTCCTGGAAACATGTAAGATGGTGGATCATTCTCAGCACTGCAGTAACACTGACGGTGGTGTGTTAGTGTGTGTTGCGCTGGTCTGAGTGGATCAGACACAGCAGTGGTGCTGTAGTTTTTAAACACCTCAGTGTCACTGCTGGACTGAGAATAGTCCACCAACCAAAAGTATCTAGCCAACAGCGTCCTGTGGGCAGCATCCTGTGACCACTGCAGAAGGACTAGTGGATGACCAACACAGACTGTCCCAAATACTTGCAGAAACTTCATTTTGCATTAGTATGGAGCATAATAACTGGTATTATTTTGTAATAGCTGACCAGCTTAGTTGCTACAGGAGAAGACAACAATGACAACAAAGATGATGAAAATGGTGAGACTTTAACACAGCAGTTAACTTGCCGTCTTTGCTGTTAGTTAGCAATACATTAGCTATTAGCGGTTTTCAGAAATAAGTGACTGGACAGAGAGAGAGCCTCACATTCTTGGCTGGAGATTCCCCTCCCTGCCTGTAGAGGTCACTCTTTCCTGAGTTTTAATGGCTGACGGCTCACCTAAAGCTTGTTTTCTTTTTGCTCTCTCTATATATAGCTTGTACTTTGGCTACGGCACAGTTCACTGTGATTAATAGGAGCTTTTATGTGCTTTTGTTTGTCATTGACATTCTGAGTGCATTTCTAACAGGAAGTATCCTCTCTGAAGAACAGCATTCAGGATATGAGGATGTGGATGAGGAGCTTCTCTCAGGTAAGAGGATAAATATTAGAACTGTAATTAATTGTAAAAATGCTCAAATAATCAAATGAATCTTTAGCCAGGACTTGTATAGATTATTGATTTCTCTTCTGTAGCTGATTAAATCTGACACTCTCGCATTAGTCTTCAAAAAGGCTGATGACGTCCATGCATAGGATTTGAAATATGCATGTTTCTCCTGAAGTTTGAACATATCACAGTTACTACTCCAGAAATGAGCTTCTGCAAGAGCGTCAGGCTGATGGAGTGACGTAGAAACTAACTTTCTTCTTTCTCTTCCAGCAAAGGCTGTGAATGAGGAAAAGGCTGAATATTATGATGATGTCTCCACCCGTAGCCTGAAAAGTGGGTGCCTTTATAGAGATCACTTCATTCAAAGACTTTATGACAAGATAATTAACTCTTTGTGAAACATGTTTTGTATGTGATTTAGGTGAGGTGGGAACTAGAGACACTCCAGAGAACTATGATGATGTCATTTCTGCTGGACAGACAACGGCTAGAGAAGCAAGTGTGTTGCTGTTTTATAATTCTTGCATTGAAAAATCACTCGTCTGTACTGCAGCAAAGCAGCTTTGGTTTGGTTTGAGTACAATAAAGAAAGGTCAGTATTACGACTGATAGAGTAGGATTTACACATAGAGAAAATGATCAGAAACCAGGATAAATCAGGATTAATCTCTCTCTGCTATTACAAAACAGTGATAGCCAGTTGGAGACATCTGTTAAGTCACATACACAATAAAGCAGTTAACGCTCTCCTCCATGCATGTCCTAAAATATTGTGTTAACAGTGAGTTGCAGTGGAAGCTACTCCTTCCCTTCTCTATATTGTGGATATTGTAGAGTAGTTTGCATTTAGATGACTTCAATTCACCATTGTTTACTGTATAAAGAACTCACAGTTACGCCTTATCATGTGACAAAACTGTAAAAATCAAGCTTAGTGGCACCAAAACTGACATTTATTTCCACATTTTTACAGAGAACAAGGTGGAGATTTATGATGACGCCATTCCTGCTGGAGAGAACCTACACATTACAGCAGGTTTGTTTCTCGAAAAATAGAAAATTCATGTGAACATTTTGTGAACCAGCATCAGTTCAATAACAAAACCATATTTATTCTTCATGGTATCATAATTTTTCCACATATGTTTGTGCAGTGTACACACCAGAGAACTATGATGATGTCATCACTCCTGGACAGGATTTTGGAGATTCAGCAGGTGAGTCTCCTTTCTACTTTATTGAGGTGGATGTTTTTTTTTCTTGCTCTCTCACACTTCATTGCAGAGTGCTGTTAGTTAAACACGGATTTGCATCACTGTAACGTTACATACATGATGACCTACACTGCAGTGATAATGATGTACATATGGAGTGATATCATGCCTGTGTTTAAGATGTTTGTCACTTATTCAACAACTTTTACTTTCAGGCTATGATGATGTGGTAGAGGTGTCTGAGAAAGAGGGACAGATCATCTGACAGAGACCCAAATGATATACAGTGTCTGCTCAGGAAATGACATTTGAGCTTCTTAAGCTCAGCTGAAAGTTAAACATTACCAGATGTTTTTATATTCTTTTTGAAGATGAAAGTTTTCCTTGTGACTGTGCTATTTTTTAATAGTGAAGAGCACAATGTTCTCTTTAACTAATTGCATTCTAAACCACTTTGCTTTCTTTTTCAAAAAAAAAAAAACATTTAGAAATTATAAAGAAAAACTGCTTACATAACATACATTTGCTTTAATTTCATGGCCTGTGAATGTTATTTACATTTAATTTCTTGCTTCATTCATTTGCTTTGTTGCGCTTTGTAGCTGCTCATCAGTCAGGGTACACACTCTGTATTATGCAAATGTTTATTCAGTTCAGTCTTGATTGTATATTGTAATAAGTAAATGAACAGCTCTTCACGTTCCACTCTAAAGAGCAGAGACACAGGAAGGTGTTTATAAGTAGATGCTGACATTTTTAGCAGCACATAAGTGATAAACATACTGATGTCATCCTAAATAGTGTTTTTTTTTCTCTTTCATTTGAATTGTTTGAGAGAGACGACATTATACAGCTGTACTCCTATGTAACCAGTGCAGCAGTCACAGCTGATGCTCACTTTGCTGTCTCTGCAAATGAGCTGAGCGCTGATCAATCAGATTGTTGATTTGAAGAGGAAAGCAGCTTTTGTTACAGCCATAGTCAAACTACACATCAACATCTACAGAGAGATTATTACAATGTTTGGATGGGAGATAATTATGTTAGCTGAAAATGTAGAGATTTAATATAATATTATTTTGCTTCGCTTGCTTATATTTTATGGGCACAAAATATTTTAAGTGTTCTTTTGTTATTTTCTTTCCCCTGAAATCTGGAGGTGCTGGATCCCACTCAGCACTCCTCCTTCCCACATCCTTGCTTCAGAGCACATTTTGCATGATTAGCATTTCAGTCATTGATATGAAATTAAAAATAAAATAAAAGCTAATACTTTGCTGTAGATCATGTTCATAAGGAGACATGACAATCACATAAGCCTTTCATGATAGCTGACATAAACCTATGTACACATTTATAAAGGCTTATTCCAATAAGCAGTTATTGGCATAACTGACATGATGCCTTTGTGAGGTGTGAAATGACAGATGTTATGACAGCTGACTTTTTAGTAGCATTGTGTCCATTTTCACAGTTTGTTTCCTGTTTCTAATAGTGTCCACTTCACATGCAAAACAAAATAATATACTGGACATTTTAATCCTGACAACACTTCAAACCCATTTTGTTGCCAGAAATGACACAAAATGGCCTGATTTTCAATGATAATTGAATATTGTGTGTCTTATAGCACCACCACCAGGAGAGAAAGGAAAGACGTGAGATGAAGCAGCATTTTAAGTGACAGAATGTTCAGAATGTGAGCTACAAAGTCAATTTGTTTAATGTCATTTCACCCCAGAAAGTGTTGTGACACCTAATGTCAGCAAAAAACTGTCACTGCAGCTTACTGGAATTAGATTTTATAAATGTTTGTATAGGTTTATGTCAGATGTCATGAAAGGCTTAAAGCCTTGTCAAGAAAATCTTAAACTAAACATGTGTTATAATATGCAAACAGTATAGCAAGTCTGATAATAAAGTGTGATTTTATTTCATTAAGATTTTGTCTTTGCTGTTTTAATGTTTGGAAAATCTATACTATATAGATTATAGATATATATATATATATATATATATAGATAGATAGATAGATAGATAGATAGATATATATATATATATATATATATATATATATATATATATATATATAGATAGCTAGATATATATATATATATATTCCATTATGCCATTAATTTTAATACTCATTAAAGGTGTTTTTCCTCTAAAAACCTTTTTCCTCTTTCATGTTATGAGTTCCATGTTCGAAGTACAGCTCAATCTAAGTGACTAATTACATCCCCCTTTGATAAACAAAGTATTTAACTTCAATATGTAAAATTAAGTGTCTGAGCTTAAAAAATCAATTCCAACATTTAATGCTTAATGAATGGAAGCAGGTGTGTTAGATTAGCTTGCAGTTTCAATTTGTATGTAAGTAGGTCTTCAGGAGTGAGCAGTTTGCTGAGATCAATAAAGAGGAGACTCAGAAAAACAGCTATCAGATGAACTCAAACAGAAATGTTTAACATTTCATAGAGCTGGAGAGGAATATTAAAAGATATCACAGCATTTTGTCATATCAGTAGCAACCTTGAAGACTATAATCCAGAAATGGAAGAAATATGAACACATGAAGACTCTACCAAGAAGTGGAAGATCAAGAACAATAACTGAACAAACTGCCAGGCAAATTGTTTGAGCACTCTGCAAAAACTAAAACAAAAGGCAGGGGACTTAAAAAAGTCCTTATAGGCAAATGGAGTAAAGGTCCACATGTCCAGAATGAAGAGCAGTCTACACAACTCTGGACTGTTTGGGAGGAAAACCACACAGGAAGCCATTGCTTACTTTTAGACACAAGACAGAATGATTGGAGTATGGCACAGGGCATATTAAACAATCCAGAGGAAGTTTGGAACAATGTTTTGAAGTCTGATGAGACCAAAGTTGACTTTTTGGTCATAATTCCCTTTGGTATGCGTGGCGAGAGGAAAAAAAAAAAGAACTGTGCCTATGAGGAGAAGAACACCATTCCCACAACAAATCATTGTGGAGGATCACTGATTTTGGGGGATGTATGTTTGCATCAGGGACTGGAGCTCTACTGAAAGTGGAAGGAAGAATGAATGTGGGCCAATGCCAATAGATTTTAGAGCAAAGCCAAAAAGCTAAAAATGACGCACAGATGGATCCTGCAACAAGATGATTGTCCAAAGCATAAAGCAAAGTCTGAGTCGTGGTTTGAAAAGAAGAACGTGAAATGGCCTTCTCAGTGTCCTGACCTGAATATAATAGAAAACCTGTGAATAAATTTGTAGAAAGTAGTGCCTGACAGACAGCCCATCAATCTAATAGAACTGGAGCAAATATGCCAGCAAGAATGGACTAAAATTACACCTGACAGGACACATAAGGAGGAGGTTTTAAAGGCTGGACATAAAGGTGTTTTTTAAGGCTGGACATGCAAAATATTAGACGGAATTTGAAGAATTAATTTGCAAGAAAACAATAAATGCCTTCCTTTTAAAAAGGAGTTGACTGTTGTTAGTCATTCTTAACACATAAATTCTAAACCCTAAATATGTTTTGTTTCAAAAGTCATTAATGTCCATTGTTAACGCATTGCAAGTTCATGATTTACAGCAGAAACAGTCAATCGTCAGTGCTGTTCTCAAGGAGAACCTGATAAATCCATTCAGCGAGTCAGCACGTAGTTTTCGGGTCAGGTGATGTATCACTGCTGCTAACTGTTTTAATTCTTCTCCCTACATAGTGCAGTACATATTTCTTGAAAAAATGACTACTGCATCTAAACAGCGCACAGTGTGTCTACCAAAAAAACACTTTTCAGGCTATGAAAAGTGCGACCCAGAAGGATAAGTGTGTGTGTCTGTTTATTTATTTTTTTATTTTTTTATTTATTGCTCACTACAATTACAATATGGGTAGTTGTCTTTTTTATGCTCATCTTTTTATGTATTATCAGTTATTTACTGCCACTAAAGTCCCAAAAATAAAGAAACAAACAAAAAAACTGGGCCCTGTTACCATGTTTAATTCCTGGTCTCAGGAAAAAAAAAACAAAAACAAAAACAAAAAAAAACAGTTTTATTCACAATAGGCTGCTGCAGCTGCATGTTTTCATGCAACTGAGTAAGATCACAGATGATTCCACTGGTTTAATCAGTTAGTCTCAATGTTTAAATAATTGATCATGTGATCTCTTCTTTGTCGTAAATAAAGTGTATCAACATCAACCTTTTGTGGGTAAGATTGGACACCCCACATTAAACATGCTGTGCTTAACCATGAAAGACCCAAAACCCACTACTCAGTCAGTTATAAAGTGAAGAAATGATATTGAGTCTGTCTTCTCATCACTGTCACCTGATAACAAATGATATCTCACTAATCCTTTTGAGAATCTTTGAGTTTGTTTCCACTCAAAATGCCCAAAAATCCACAACCTCCTGAAAAATATCCCTCAGAGCACAGAGCACACCCACTGCATCCCCAAACCATAGTAATGACTTAAATCAGTGTTTCTCAGTCCTGGTCCTGGAGGCCTACTGGCCTGCTCATTTAGTGTGTACCCCGCACTCACCACACCTGATCCCACTAATCAGCTCTTTTACAGCCCATCATTGAGTTAAACTGGTTGTGCTAAGCAGAAAGAGCACTAAAACATGCAGGGCAACATGTCCAGGATAAGATATGAGAAGCACTGCATTAAATGACTCTCATGTCCCTACAAAACTCTGTTCTGTCCTCCACTAGAGTCTCCATCTTCCTTTAACCCTTTTTAAAATGATGGTCCTTCTCTCTCCTCAGCATCAAG